AGATGGAGCGATTCATGAAACCTGATAGACTTGGTATTGATCTGAACTCAACAGATGCAGCAAAAACATACAACCATTGGTTAAGAACTTTTACAACTTAGTAAGTGCAGTTAATGATAACTCCATTTAGCTTAATCTCCTAATAAACCATATTAAACCTAATGTCTATGAATTCATATCAGAGTGTGATGATTTTGAACAAGCAACAAGTATTCTTGAGTCTACCTACATAAAACCAAAGAATGAAATTTTTGCCAGACACATTTTGTCAACACCAAAGCAAAAACCGAGTGAATCAATTGATCAATTTCTAAATAAATCTCAAAATTTATCTAAGGACTGTAAGTTTATCTTTTAAATTTATCTAAGGGCTGTAACTGCTGAGCAATATAAATCTGAAATGATTCGCGTTTATAAATGGCTCACTCTCCAAAATCATACGCAAATGTTTACTAGAAAACAAGAGATTAGACCTTTCATCAGCCTTTGACCAAGCTAGATCTTTAGATGTGGCTCATCAAAATTCAAACCTATACTTACAATCAACTATACCTATCTCTGCCTCTATTAAGGAAATTAAATCATCTTTACAAAAAAAAAATCCATGACTGATAAACACTTAGCTTCTACAGTAAAATCAAAACAATTATGCTAGTTTTGTGGAAATATAAGACATTCACGTACTAAATGTCCTGCTTGTGAAGCTATCTGTCACAAATGTAAAAATATTGATCATTTTGAAAAACTTTGCAGATCATCTGATTCTGCTGCTATTCCTAAAATCGATGATGATTTCTTCTGTACCACCAAATCGGCTTCAGAAAACTCTCTCTTCTGAGTCAGTCATAACATCATTATTAATGACAAGTATAAACCAGAAGCTTTAACTGATAGTGGGAGTAAAAACAAAAATTTCATTAATAATAAACTAGTGGCTCTACTTAATTTAGATGTTATTTATGAACAGAGTGTAATCATAATGGCATCATCTTCTTCATCAGCAAAATCAGATGGATATTGTTATGTTTCAATAACTCTTTAAAACAAAATCTATAACAAAGTCAAGTTGCATGTGCTAGATAATTTATATATAGATATTATTCTTAGCACAAATTTTCAAGAATTGATTGAGAGTATTACCATTAAGTATCGTGGGAAAAGACCACCCATAACATTCGCAGCTTTAACAACAACGAAAACTGAACCTCCTAAATTGTTTGCTAATCTTACTACCAAATACCTTTATCTAAAAAAGATCGGTCATATACTGCTTTTGAAGCTGACAATAAGTTGTGGCAATACACTAGAATGCCTTTTGGAGTTACTAATGAATGTGGATGTTTTCAACGCAAAATAGATGACTTTGTTAGAACATATACACTAACTGACTGGTTTCATTTCATTGATAACATTACAATATGTGGTAATAGTCAGAAAAAACATGATGGAAATCTATTTAAGTTTAGATTAGCTGCTATTGATGCTGGAATTACATTTAATGAAGAGAAGTGTGCATTTTCAACTGAGACTTTAGTTTTTTAGGTTATCATATATCTTATGGCTCCTTAAAACCAGATCCTCAGAGACTTGCTGCTCTCATTAAGTTACCCCCACCTGATAATGCGAAGTCTTTACAGCGTATTATTGCAATGTTCTCGTACTATGCAAAATGGGTAAGAAAGTTTTCAGAAAAAATTTGACCTTTTGAACTCTATTACTTAATTCCCACTCAATCAGCAGCAAATACCAGCATTTGAAACATTAAAAAATAAGCTTGTTCAATCTCCCATGCAAACCATTGATGAGAATATACCTTTTACTGTAGAGAATGATGCTTCTGATTTTGCCATATCTGCAAAACTTAATCAGGATGGAAGGCCTGCTGCCTTCCATTCACGAAAGTGGAGAAAGAAGCTCAAGCAATAGTTGAAGTCATGAGTCATTGGCGCCATTTTCTTTAGGGTCGATATTTCATTCTCATCTCTGAACAACATCTGTGGCATATATGTATGATTATAAATCAAGCAGTAAAATAAAGAATGATAAAATAATGAGTTGGAGAATAGCCTTGTCTCCATATTCTTATGAAATCCATTATCGTCCTGGCCAATGTAATAGTGGTCCAGATAGATTTACTTGTGTTAGATGTGCAGCAATAAGTTCAGAATAATTATATGATTTGCATGCTGCACTTTGCCATCTTGGTGTTACTTGCCTCCATAATTTTATTTGATCAAGAAACCTCCTTTATTCAGTAGAAGATGTAAAAAGTGTGTATCATAAAAAGAAAAGATGTAAAAAAATATAGAATAAAAATATATAGAAATATGTAGAATATGTAAAGAAACAAAACCCAAGTAATAAGTAAATGATGTGCACCTAATTAAAGCAACTCAGCCATTTGAATGTATATCTATTGACTTTAAAGGTCCATTATCTTCTTCAACCCCTGAACAATATATGCTAACAATTGTAGACAAATACTCACGTTTTCCCTTTGCTTATCTTGTAAAAGATATGACAACTCAGATAATAATAAACTGTTTTGCTGATCTTTTTTCCATGTTTAGTATGCTAGCTATGTTCACTCTGATAGTGGATCCTAATTAATATATTCTGAACTAAAGCACTGGTTCTTATCAAAAGGGATCGCAACTAGTAGAATAACCCCTTACAACATGACTGGAAATGGGCAAGTTGAAAGATACAATGAAATTACTTGGAAGTCGATATTACTCACTCTGAAATTTCGAAATTTGCCTATATCATTATGGAAAAGAGTTCTACCTGATGCACTTCATGCTACAAAATCTCTATTATATATTTTCTCTAATTGTAGTCCACATGAACGTTTTTTCATTTTTCAACGAAGATCATCATCTGGGTCCTCAATTCCTTTATGGCGACAAGCCATGAAGGAATTGAATACCCAGATGATGATCTGAACCCAGGACCTATACTTATACAATCAATTGTGATGCAAAGTAAACACGAAGATTCATTAAATAAGGTTCAGCTCATTGAAGCAAATCCTCATTATGCTTATGTGAATTTCCTAGTGGTCATGAGACTACAGTGTCTACTAAACAGCTGGGTCTAATTGGAACAACTCCTATAATTCAAACATAAAGCAACAATTTAGAAGTAACAGCCATTGATAACTATCCCCCAACCCCTAATGGTAGCAATGAAACTCCTTTAATCTCTGAAAAGGAACTAAAAAACAAAATGAATCCTATAGAGCAAATTAACATTCTTTCTTGTAGATCTTCGCAAATTTCTAAAGCACCAGAAAAATTTAACTTATAAATACACCTCAACTCTTTTAAGAGGAGGGTGAATGTTATGTTAATGTGATATATTAATGTATACATTTATGTTTTATATTTTAGTATATATACTTTATGTATTTTGTTACTTTGTTATAGACTTGTATAACTAAAGCTTGTTTGAGCCAAAATAATTAATTTGATTATTTTTTACAATCACAATTCACAATTACTTAATTCAGTTCTTGGAGTGTTAGGTATTTTTATTTATAAAAAAAAAAACAACTTAGGAAAACAACTCTAGTTTTCTTTATATTTATCTAATATGTTTCATTATATTTATGTTGCATTCATCCAGACTACACTACAGAGGCTTCAATCATGTGTTGCAGATTACAGCAGCAAGCATTCAGAAAGAAACCTTGATAAAGTAAAAATTTTTTAAATATTTCAATCTTTTTAAAATTTTTCTTTATGTTTCATAATTTGTTGATATTTTATACTAATCAGTTAGTTCTAAAAATTAAAAACTTTCTTATACTTGATGTTTTTTACTAACCACTTCTGAAAAGAAACAAAAAAACAACAACAACAATAAAAAGAAACATTCAAAGAAAGAAACTAAAAATATATTTAAAGAAAGAAACTAAGAAATATATTCAAAGTCAAACTGAGTTTTTTTTCCTGATTTCTAATAAATTTTTTTTTCCTGATTTCTAATGATTGTTGTGAATGTTTTTCATACTTTTTGTTGTAACTACAGATAAAGTAATTGAATTTCATTTTTGAAAGTTTTTCAGTTTTTATTGTTTAGACATTTCAGTTCTAAATGTTTTGGTTTTTATTGTTAAAAAAAAATCTTCTTGGTTTTTCTTGGTTTTGTTTAGAATACGATGAAACCTTAGACTTATTAAATACTTTATTGATAAAAAAATCAGGAAAATGAAACAATGAATTAGTTTTTAAAAGATTAGGCTTGATAAATCTTCATCATACTTTTATGACTAATTAAATAAGTTAATTATAAGAAAAATTACTAACATGACCAATAAATTTATTTTATGACCATTTAAACAAGTTTATTTTATGACCATTTAAACAAGTTACTTTTATGACCAATTAAAGAAGTTACTTATATAAAACAAAACTTTTAAATTATTTAGTTTTGTAAAATAATGCAATTACAATTATTTCAAGTATTCAAGTTTTAAACAGTTAACTAATATACACAAGTTACTACATTATATGGAAAGCTAAAAAGTTATATATTTTATTTCTATAAAAACTATAAAAATGTATATATATATATATATATATATATATATATATTATATATATATATATATATATATATATATATATATATATATATATATATTTATATATATATATATATATTATAAATTTAATTAAAACACTTTTTTCTAAAAACTATAAATATATATATATATATATATATATATATATATATATATATATATATATATATATATATATATATATATATATATATATTTATGTATATATATTTATATATATATATTATAAATTTAATTAAAATACTTTTTTCTATAAACTATAAATAAAATATATGTAAAGATAATTTCTATAAATTATATGGAAAGCTAAAAAGTTATATATTTTATTTCTATAAAAACTATAATTTTTAAAAATATTTTTGCAGAAATTCCTTTTGTTAAATTACTTTACAAGTTAAAAAAAAATTGTAACCTTCTTCGCTGCGACTTGTTATATATGATAATCTTGGGTTCAAAGCAGCTAAAGAACTAGAAGCTTTTGCGTGAACTGGTGAACAGTTATCAGCATTTCGACAAGCAACAGCAAAGCAATTATTTTCAAGCATAAAGGCTGCATCACAGTCTCTATTACCACAGCACATACGTACACATATGCTCATGTTAGAAACTTTTCCAAAATTAGTATAATTACCAGCTTGATAACCACCTTTAAGAGTTGTATTGTAAAAAACTTGACCATTCTTACAAACAAGCTGATTGTTATGGTTTTGTAACATTTTCAAAGATGCTGAAAAAAGTTGTAAAAAATCTCTCTTTTGATAATAAATGTTGAATAATTAAATTGATTGTTTACATAATTGCAGTGCATAAAAATTACCTTCACTTTTGCGAGGTTCCCTCTTGCGCTTTACATATGCAAGGGTTGGTCTGTAAATATTTGTAAAAGACTTTACCATTTCACACTTTTTTTTAGAATAACATGTCACAATAAAGCAGCTTTGATTAATCATTAATGCAACATCACATTTTTCAGAAACACAGCACAATTTAACACACATAGACATGTCAAGCACAGTTCCAACATCTGTATAATTACCAGCATTTAAACCTCCTCGAAGAGTTACACCAGTGTTTATTTTAGTTGCTAAACATTGAAGTTTTTCTGTGAATTGCTCTGTAGAAACAACTAAAAATTATATATATTATATATATATATATATATATATATATATATATATATATATATATATATACATATATATATACACATAAAAAGATAATGTATTATTATGGTATAATAATAATAATAATACAAATACCCTTGCGCATTTAAGAGTGCTCAATACTATAAAATAATAGAGTTTTATGCTTTTCAGCAATCATCAGCCAAAATGATTTAGAACTATAAAATACGCATATAATGCTTTTTCATTTTTTACATTTGTTGGTCGCTTTTGTTTTCAAAAAAAGAAATTGCAAACATAAAATTATATAGTACGGCCCCAGTTTAGCAAAAATGTTAAAACTAAAATTGGAAATGGCTTCTTAGCTTTAATTGACTTACAGTTTCCAGTAGGACACAGACTTCATAAAATTTTTAACCGAACTATATTAAAGTTAGCTATAGTTGCATGCCTAATGTCAAGTCTTCAATAAATGCACATAGCAACTATATTTTACAACGCGAAGAAAATATAACATCCAAACAATGCATGTGCATAGACAAAAAAATTTTCCATTAAATAACCATAAAATGTTCATTAAATAACATAAAATTCCATTAAATGTCGTATATCACTGTAAGTTCTCGAGATTCTGAATTTAAAAATTTTGAGATCCTGAATTCAAAAATTCGAGATCCTGAATTCAAATATTCAAAAGTTTGTTTCGGTATAAGTGAAACGAGAAATTTCATATATCATTATACAGAGGATAAAATTTACTTAATAAAATAAATAAATTAATATCAAAGTGCATTCAAAGAATTTTTTACTTTCTTTATTCAACACCAGGGACTAAAATCTTTGACGCCTTTTTGTTTTGTTTTGTTTTTGTAATCAAAACTCATTCCAACATAACTTTTATTTTTTAAACAGTTTTTACATTACAAATTATACACAATGGCTGCTGATTGCCAAAAGGCATGAAACTCAGAGTTCCATCAAAAGTTGTTTTTATTTATTTTATATATATGTATATATATATATATATATATATATATATATATATATATATATATATATATATATATATATATATATATATATATATATATATATATATATATATACATATATATATATATGTGTGTGTATATATATATATATATATATATATATATATATATATATATATATATATACACATAATATATATACTATATATATGTGAGTGTGTGTTTGCATATATATATATATACATATATATATATATATATATATATATATATATATATATATATATATATATATATATATATACATATATATATATATATATATATATATATATATATATTTATATATATGTATATATATACATATATATATATTTATATATATGTATATATATATTATATATATATATATATAACATATATATGTACATATGTAAATATATAAAAGAGTGTGTATATTATACATGTATCTATAAAGGCTCTCATATATATATATATATATATATATATATATATATATATATATATATATATATATATATATATATATATACATATATATATATATATATATATATATATATATATATATATATATATATATATATACATATATATATATATATATATATATATATACATATATATATATATATATATATATATATATATATATATATATATATATATATATACATATATATATATATATATATATATATATATATATATATATATATATATATATATATATATATATATATATATATACATATATATATATATATATATATATATATATATATATATATATATATATATATATATATATATATATATATATATATATATATATATATATATATATACACCTGAACAGACGTGTTATATTTAGCTAATAATGGAAAAAAATTTTGCAACTAAAAGAAATTTTACATGAGAACACAATCATAAAAATTTTCAACAAAAAAATAGAAAAATTAAATATATATTGACAAGCTAAAGGTAGACAATAAATATATCATATCTTAAGTAAATGACTTGAAAAAAGCAGTCAACTTTATTAGTGAAAAATATGATAAAATAATAGTTGAATAAGCAGGAAAGAAGATAGATAACAGTAAACCAGATAACAATTTTTAACAAATTTAACAGATAAAATGAAAGACAAATTGGCAAAGATTGAGGAGAAGTAATTTAAGGATTGCTGGTATTGAAGAACCTGTTGATGAAAGTTAGGATGATTGTGAACGAAAGGTTCACGATTGATAAAAACAAAACTTTATCTTTAAGGTTATTTATTATAGAACGTGAGCATCGTGTTTGTAATATTAATAAAAATGATACATTTAGGAAAAGCAGAACTACTGTTGTCAAGCTTTTAAACTTTAAGAACAAATCAGCTGTGCAGGTTAAGTACATAAAAAAAAAATGATGCAGCAATTTATATTAACAAGGATTTCAGCAAAAGAACAACTGAAGTAAATGCGGTAGTGGTGTAGTCGTAGAGCGCTCGCTTCATAAAGGAGTGGTTCCGAGTTCGATCCCCACCATGTCCCTGGTAGTACCGCGCTTAACTCATTTCTCCACGCAGCGGCCTTGTTCGTCAAGTTCGTGTTTCGGAGTTATAGAGTTGAGAGAGGGTTATAGCCACAAATAAGTAGCCTCCTCGTCGTTAGTGGCCTTCTCAGCCTTGAGGAGGCGAATTTAAATAAAAAAATCAATCAATAAATAAATAATTATTTACAGCAGCAAAGTAATTAAAATCAAAAGGTAAATATGCCAAGGTTGTATATTATAAATTAATAACAACAATTTTTTAAGGAAATTCTTTTATTTTACGGTTTTTCAAAACTTAAAATGGATTCTAATTATTCTATCAAATTTGAATTGAATACTGACAAATTTTTTCAATCTGATAATTTTCTAATTAATGACCAATTAGATCCAGACTTTAATTACATTAGTGAAGCAGATTTTTTATAAAGCCATTATTACTAGGCTGATGAAATAAAAGAATTTCTAAATTGGAAAGACTTTAACGCTCTGCATATTAATATTTAAATAAACTTTGACAATATTTTGTTTGAACATTAATATTTTTAGTTTAATTAATATTCTCTTAATATTTTTAGTTTAATTTGCATGTCTGAAACCTGGTGCAACTTAGATAAGGCTAATTCTAACTCAAATATCTCTTTATCAGGTTTTAATATAACTTCCTTAGAGTGTAAAAATAGAAAGCGAGGCGGTTGTTAACTAATTTATATTAAAGAATATGTGCAGTATATTAATAGGCTTGACATTAACATTTCTGATGATGATAAAGAGATTTTAACAGTTGAAATCCTATCCAATAAAAAAAAATTTAATTATAAATTGTTACTATCACCTTAACTGAACATTTTAATGTATTTTTAAAACTAATTTAATGTTACTTAATAGGTTACATTAACTTAGATTATTTCCAATGCTGCACCAATTGTGGCGTTTATAATGAGCTATTTGAATACTGTGCTTTTTCTATAATTAACAAACCAACAAGAATAACTCCATGGTCAGCAACTTTAATCAACAATGTTATAATAACTGATATTTTCAATAAATCTCTTAGCAAAGGTATTATTAAAACTGACGTATCATTCACCACTTTCTGACCATTTCTATTTTTTCTTAAATACAATATCTCAATTATAGTTATATCTCAAAAAAATATAAGTTATAGTATCTCAAAAAAAACGTTTTTTAAAACGATTTTTTAATGCTGTTTACTTAGAATCATTTAATGACCAATTATCTCTTAATTGGAATCAAATTAATGCCTGTGATAAAGCTAATTTAGTTTATAATACATCTTTTAGAAGTTTTTTGAAATTTTCAAATTTTCCAAAAAATTAGAAAAAATAAAAGTATAATGTCACCATGGATTACAAAAGATCTAAAAAATCTTCTAGAATTAAACAAAAATTAAATATTTAAAAACAAAATCTGAAAAAGTTTGCTTATAAAAACATTGCAAAAGAATTTAAAAGACAAAAGAAAAAGCAAAAAAAAAAGCAAAAAAATATTGTACTTTTCTAATTTGCTGGAGCGAAATAAGTTTAATTTAAAGTGCACATGAAAAATTATAAGAGAACTCACCGGCACGCGGAAAGCTAAAACAAACACATTGCCTAATGCTATTAAAATTAACAATGAAATTTTCTATGATTAAACTGCAATAGCTGATGAATTTAATACATTTTTTGTATCAGTTGGTCATAATCTGGCCCAAAAAATTCCCATCTTGACAAAAAAAAAAAAAAATATATATATATATATATATATATATATATATATATATATATATATATATATATATATATATATATATATATATATATATATATATATATATATATATATACTCTTCCAATAACTTTGTACTTAAATTCCTTTGAATTATCTTTTAAGGAGTTCGAAATTTCATTCAAGAGGGGATGAGGTTAAAGGAATTTTTTGTTCCCAGCCTCCAATTATTGCAATTTTTTGCAAAGCCTCATTATTTAACATAAGTATAAACATACAAATGTTTGGAGTTAGCTCTATGTCTGGAAGTTAGCAATCTCAAACACCCAAAAATCCTGGATCCATCAGACTTGCCGTCTAATGTTGTTATAGCCAAAAACATCAAGAGCTTTAAAAATTAACTCTGTGAACTTTGAAAAATTCTCTTTAAACAATTCTCTCACACTATAAAAGGAAGCTATTTAAGCATCTGTATAAATCAGTTTCCTTCTTGCAATATATTTTGACTATTCTGCAAAAATATATTTAAAAAATTATTTTAAGTGAGACATGCCAATTATTAAGTAAATAGGGCTTTGCGGTTATTGACTCCATAACACACTCAGACTTATATCAAGAATATTTTGACACAATTTAAAGTATCGTATAAACAAATAGTTTATATATGTATATATATATATATATATATATATATATATATATATATATATATATATATATAT